CAAGTCTATTTTAGGTTTATTTAATTAAATATACCGGTATTCTTGAAAAAAACAATACTTTTTTTTTGGGACTTTTGAATTTGTAAATTCAGTTTACACGATAGGACGTTATCGGTTGCATCAATACCAGATACGCACATAGTTCAGGGCGAATTTCCTCGTGTATCTCTGCGTAACATAATTTTAATTAGAATTTAAGCTAGAAAACCTTAGAATTTATCAAATATACAAATTGAACTGACACGAAGCCTGATTCAATATTTTGCTTACATACCTTATAAGATAAAGTTTATTAAAATTAAATATATTTTGATGGACCTTTGAATTAGCAAATGACGAATTTTAATGGGTGTATATGAGCATTTATTAAAAACAAGGCGTGTTTAATTTTAAGCATTTGCAGTTTTCCATTTTGTGTGCACTGTACTACGACCACACTACACCTTCGATACGCATACGAATTTCATTGTCTGTTCCTCATTTCCAAATGCATAGTTAGACATTTAACTTATTACAAGTCAAACAAGTTATAAGTTTATTGAGCACTGCCAAATAACTGCATTCAACAATTATGAACATACATAAATATATTCGCATGAACGTACAAATAAATTTGTAATAAATTGTTCCGTGTTTGGAAATAATATTAAATAGATTTTTTTTTATCATTGTTAAGTTCGGTCTGATATATTTTTCTAAACCCATCCTTCGTCTCGTCGTGATAATGCCACAGGCTGGTCTCTGGTAAACAACAGGCAGCGCCTCCTAAACGCTGCCCGCCAATTGGTTAATTTGTTTTGTGGTGTAGCATGCAAACATTTGCTTTGGCAGTGATGACGTCATATCGCCCACAACTGCATAGTGCATGAAACACGAACAGGCTCAGTAAAACTGATAGTTTTAATTAAAAATTTCATTTAAAACAAACAGGAAACCCCCTCACGGTTTTATTTAGAGTCAAACCTAAATAAACCTTACAAATTTCTTCCTTAAATTAGCAACATCTTTTTTGAGAAGTGTTTTAAGTTTAATGGGGCTACAACGAATTTGCAATTTACACTGTTGAACCTGACGACGTCTGAAACCAAATTAGAGAAAAGTAGAGAAATGCTTGGGTTTCGTCTTTACTTCAGACTGATTTGCCAATCGATTTTTAAGGATTAAAGTCATAGAGACCCTATCATTTGATTAAACAAGCAAGAATGTAAATTATTAAAACAATGAAACTTTCACTACCTCCATGCTATATCTAACATTAACTGGCGTGTCATTTTAACCAATGGATAATCTCCATGGCAACGTTAATTAGACTACAGTGAAGCATGTCGTCGTTGTCCAAGCGTCTTGGTATGCTTGTTGTTATTCGCCGTTTTCTTGTTACAAGGTTTATTTTTAACTGATCTCCGATCTTTGTTATTTAGGCCTAGAAGCGAATTTTATTGTCTTGGACTGGAAAAATTGTACAGAATTAGGAGAGGTTTGGTTTTCGAAATGGCTTTCGTTAAAGGAAAAAAAAATGTACTACATTCATGATTTACGAAGTTACAAACTAAAGGATAAATAAAGTAAGTTTGAGACTTCCAATTACAAAGAGTTTAATACGCAGTTGCTGTGTCGAGGTGCACGCTTCGTGGCTGGTTGGTTGGATCAGATCATGGGGTACTGTAATTTATATTTATAGCCTCCACTGCATTGCTATTCTCACTCTGCCTCGCATGGATGACTGGGAAACGGCCTTGGGCTTATCACAGCTTGGGTCAGGTCTTGCGTTTAGAATGTGATAAGACAAATAGTAATTGCTGATAATCAGCTGACAAAGAGATAAAACAAAGCCATGCTCGTAATTAAAAAACGAGCTCTATATAGCACTAACAAGCTCTCTTTTTAGAGTCTATAGACCTCGTTTTAGCACTCTATTTAAACCATTGGGATAATAATGCATTTCAAATTTTACCACGTTTCTGCAGTGCTAGTGAAATGTTCATGTTTAGAAATATTCCCTCTTTTTAGAATTTATTAGAAAATCCGTTTCCGAATTTAGGAGAAGGGTCACAAATAGTTGCAACAAGTTGGTTGATACTGTATCACAGCACATTCTTAAAAGCTCCAAGCTTTATCTGAAATGGAATACCTTGGTGTATTACTATTTACTTTTCTTTTTGTAATCATCTTATTGTAACTGGTAATTGTATAAGTATATGGATATATTTCCAAAATAAAAAGAGAATGAATGAATGAATGAATAAGATACTTAATTAGGCCATTTAATAAAATAAAAGTTCTCTGAAGGTTAACTAGTGAATTTATAGTACATTGTAATTAGTGTATTAAAAACTATTGAAAACCTTTTCGTTTGACATTAAATTAGCGATAGGCTATGCCAAATGTTATATTAGGAGTGGCGGAACCCAGTCAGCACGATCCCCCCCCCCCTACAAGATGGAGAAAACTGAAAAATTACATCAAATTTAAATCTGAGAGTGCCATTTCCGCCCATCTAGCGGTGTTATAATAATTTCTTCTTACCTCAGCTCTAACCATGGTGGGCTGAGGCGGGTGGACTCAGTGCATTTTATGAACGTCAATTTTATGAACAGTTGATTTTACGAATGGTTTTTGCCTCTGATAAGTCATCATCGATCAATTATTACCCTAAAAAAAGTCTGATGGCGCACATTTTACAATGTGATAATGTATATTTTTCTTAACAAAATCAAGTTTGTTGTATTTATTTATAAATAATTTGATCTTTTTTTCCATTTTTGGTATATTAATCACAATATAAATGTAATAAACCTTAACCAGAACAACGAACTACCAACACAAGTGTCGTCAGATTGAGCGCACATGTTTACGATGACGATCTTACACGAATGCAAGATATCGTGAAATGCATGAAAAAAAAAATTCAGAGATCTAACAACTAGAAAGAACACAATAGAGAGGTCCACAAAACATACAGATATTTGAATAAGAGTTAAAATAATATTTTGTTAGTAAATTCAAATTCAAATTCAAAAATATCTTTATTGGCAATCACAGTATACAATGATTGAATTATACAATAAAAAGTTATAAATTTAAAATACATTTAAAGAAAATTTACAGGATCAATTAACAATTTGATATTTATTTACATGAAAAAGGATTTTATTATTTATAAAGTAAATTAGTAGAAGAATGCCAGCGATTAGTAGAATGCCAGCGATTAGTAGAATGCCAGCGATTAAAGTAATTTGGTTTTTATGGAAGGTAAATCGAGCTATGCTCTAGCGCAGTAGACCACGCAGCTGCACTGTCGGTTCGTGCTAGGCCTGGCCTCCGTCAGCCAATTGGCACTCAATGGCAGGGTATAGATAAGCCTAGGTATTGGAAACTACACCCGGTATAGTTTATGAATTTCTCAATTTACGAACACCCCTTAGTACCAAGGGGTAGGTAAAATGGACATCTTACTGTATCATTTTCCAGCTCCTAGAAGGGTAATATTGCCCCATCCTACATGCTCGCTTCGCTCGCATACTGGAATTACTACCTTATGAAATTCTTTGATGATTTACTAAGTTGTATTTTTGCCCTCGAGCTTCTACTAAGAAATCCCAACCCTAAACCAGAATCCGGGAAAGATGGAAGAAGTAAAACAGTGTTTGGCGTAATTATTGGCACACGACAAAGGTGGCTGGAAAATGCGAATGAGACATGACTATAGTTACAGTTATACAGGTATGCCCCAAAACAGGCACACCCTATGTGGTTGGCAGTCGAACCCACCTTAAACAACACACAAAACCCCTGAAGATATAAAACAACTCCCAATATCCAAATTATGGGTGGGAAGGTAGGGATCGGAAAACACCTGAGACTGACTGACGAGATGGCTGTCTTCTACGTTAGCTATGTGTTTAGGATATACTCGCGTACTAAGCCACACACATAACTGTGTGCGGCTTAAAAAACGCACCAGAGGCAAAACCCAGACAAACAAAGGTGGCCGGAAAATGCGAATGAGATATGACTATAGTTTACAGTTATACAGGTATGCCCCAAAACAGGCACACCCTATGTGGTTGGCGGCCGAACCCGCCAAAATGGAAAAAGTCTATGATCAGAATTTTTACATCTGCCACCACATATGCCAATAAGCGCCCTAAACACCATAAATCACACCTAAGAAAACAAAATACGTCTTCAAAAACTTGCATAAATGTAAAACTCTCATATACCTATGTCAATACATACATAAAGAACTGCAAACGCTAACCTTCAAGAAGAAAATGTAGTGAGCCTACTACCGCTACAACTCTATTAACCAGTAGAACCAGGGAACCCAAAAAAGGAACCCTGACAGACTATGGGGGAATAGAACATGGTTAGACTAGCGGGGAAGGCCTAATATATTTTATAAAGGCATTGGAACGTCATCTCCCTAATAAGCGAATCTGAGCATCCGAGAAATTAGAGTGGGTAGCGTGTGTGGCCCCTTCTATTCTGATGCTATGGGGCTTTCTATCCCGTACCGTAATTCTAGTCTAGGCATAGCTGTACATCAAACCGATACGCAGTGCGGGGCGAAGTATGGCTAAGGAAAGTCTTGTTTTTCTGAGCATGTGCAGATTGTGCTTATCTGGCTCATTAGCATAACAATACCACACATAAGGCTAATTCCAGTTAGAGGGCTTAAACCAGCCAGCTTCCTATTATGGTAAGTCCTTGATTGTACAGCACAGGTTTAAGATGATTCCTAGATGAATTCTTTGTATTGTTACTATCATTGTATTCATATAAAATAATAACTAATGGCTCAGATAGGCAAGATTTTTAGACCTTGAGAGTGAAAAAGGATTAAGTAGCTATGGAGTTTAGCTAGCAGTACTATAAATTAAATGATTGGGCCATTTGATATACATACCCAGGAATACACCTGCTTAATTGAATACAATTGAAACAATTTTAAAACTGCTCCCTCTGAATGGGGCTCTAAAATAAAATATGATACTCACTTTGACTGATTGCTAGACGCTTGATTTGTATCGTAGACAATGGCATTGGTTTATTGAGTTTCAATACAAAACATGCTGGTAAATTCATGGAGTTGCTGTTATTTAATGGAACAAAGTTATAGAGAGGTCTAGAAAATAGAAAAAAAAAAAATGATTAAATATGAATCTTGAGTTACTAGAAATTAATGAAGATAATATTTACTTAAGATTGCATATGGTGCATTTATCTTTTTGATCATTGACCAAGTTTTCTCCAACTCTACAAAATAAGATTCAGGTCTTGAAAAATATGCATATAATCAGTATAACATTTCCATAAACATCATAATATACTAATATTTTATGAGCTTTGTCAAGTCGTGTGCAGGCAGTTCCCGGCTTACACTGCCGATTCCGCATAAATGGAACACTGCACCATTAGTGTGCATGCCAGTTTCGCATAAATGTGAATAGGATCACTGTACAGCCAATGCCACCTTCGCATAAATGCAAATTGGTGAAGGACTTTTAAAAACCAACCACAGAGCGGCTGAAATAACACACCCAAAGACATTTTGATGTGAAACTTGCAGGGGTTGTTTTGTTAGAAGTTTGTTAAGTTGAAAATATGTTTTGAAATGCTGAGAAACTGTATTCTTCAGTAATTGTTACAGCTGTGCTGGATAATGATGATACTTAGAAACTCAATAGAAAACAATGTTCTAGGCCGGGACTGTTATGGTAATTTGGCCTAGAGATTTGGCCTAAACAGGATTTGTTATTTTTATTTTCATCAGTAAGCAATTGACTGGTAACAATGATGTACATATTGACAACTATTATTTATATCGGAAGGATAGAAATGTTGATGGTTTTGAAAATGTTAGACGTAGAGGTGTAGCACTGTATGTAAACCACAATTGTATTCATAAAGTGCGAAATGTACTAGAACTTATCACAACTGAAATTATGCCAGTCAAATGTAAGCCTATTATTATTATTGTTTTATGTTACAGACCTCCTAGTTCCTTGTCTCTTATACACATCTAGATGTGTATAAGAGACAGTATACATATTGACAACTATTATTTATATCGGAAGGATAGAAATGTCGATGGTTTTGAAAATGTTAGACGTGGAGGTGTAGCACTGTATGTAAACCACAATTGTATTCATAAATTGCGAAATGACCTTTGTCCAAATGTACTAGAACTTATCACAATTGAAATTATGCCAGTCAAATGTAAGCCTTTTATTATTGTTTTATGGTACAGACCTCCTGGTTCATCAATTGATCAATTTAACCATATTAATAATATTCTACATTCTATTGAACTAGAAAGCAAAGACTACATATTAATGGGTGATTTAAATTGTGATTTTCTTGCCACTGTACCTCATTGTTATTCTAATAAACTTAATGATATATGTGCTAGTTTTCATCTTCAGCAGATAATCAATGAACCTACTAGAATACAGTAAATAGTTCTACTTTAATTGATGTTATGTATTGTTCTAATACTGAAAAAATATCAGATAGCGGTGTAATTCATGTCGGTTTAAGTGACCACTCCACGACATCTGCAATCTGTGGTAAAAAAAAACATAGTAATACAAACATAGTAGATAAGCAGAGAAGCAATCAAAATCACAAGTACAAAATATCTCAAGATTACTCTAGATTAATAGAAGAAGATTTCCTCTGCGATTTAAACAATATAATCTGGGATGATGTTTTGTCAGCATGTGATGTAAATATAAGTGCCCATCTATTTGAAAAACACTTTGAAGAAATTATAGACAAATATGTTCCCTTAAAAAAACGAAGGGTTCTTAAAAAATGTGCACCTTGGTTTAACAGGATATAATACAATTAATGCGTCAGAGATAAACTCAAATGTTTAACTCTAACCTCAAGTGATCCAGGTAAATGGGCAAGTTATCGTAAAACCAAAAATAGATGTAATACTCTGATTCGCAATAGAAAAAAACAATATATTAAAAATGGTATTGCAGAAAATAAAAATGATATTATATCAACTTGGAAACAGCTTTGACATGTAATGCCATCTAAAACTAAAAATACCTGTATATCTCTCATAAAAACAGAAGACATAGCCAATGAACTTAACACTTACTTCACTGAAGTAGGACCTAAACTTGCAGCCAAAATAGTTAATCCTACTAATGACCATTTTTATAACAATATTCCTAATTTCACTGATCAGTCATTTAATTTTGAACATGTAACTTGTGTTTTGTCAAATATACCTAACAATAAAGCTACAGGCTGTGATGACATTCCATCCAAATTATTAAAATAATGTATTATTATAACCTATAATTTCACAAATTATTACTCATATAATTAATCATTCATTTACCACTTGTATATTTCCATCAAACTGGAAAAAAGCTAAAATCAGTCCTATATACAAGAATGGTGATCATGCAGCGCCTGGTAGTTACAGGCCCATCTCAGTTCTAAAGTTTTTGAAAGAGCTGTTTTAATCAATTTTATTCTTATAATACTAATAACCTAATTAATACTAAACTATCTGGTTTTCGCCCATCTTATTCAACATCTACTGCCTTAATGTGACTGAAGATTGGTATGAAGAAATAGACAGAGGTAATATCATAAGGCTTTGTATGCTAGATTTAAAAAAGGCATTTGACACAGTAGACCATTCTATATTATTAGATAAACTTAAACTATAAGGTGTAAGTAAATATACTCTTGATTGGTTCAAAAGCTATTTAAGTAATCGTGTTCAAATGACATGTATTGATGGGGCTCTATCAAACACTAAAAAGGTTCAATGTGGAATACCACAAGGTTCTATTATTGGTCCTCTTGCATTTCTTATGTATATCAATGACCTCCCAAATATTGTATCACAGTGTAAAGTTCGCATGTATGCTGATGACACAGCCATATATTATGCATCAAACTCAATCAATGATACCATCGAATGTATTAATAGTGATTTAGAATCTGTATACAAGTGACTTTCATGCAACAAACTTAGCTTAAATATTGAAAATCTGAGTTTATGTTAATTGGCTCAAGACAATGGCTAGCAAGTACAAAAGATGATGATAGGGCTATAATTGTTCAAATTCATGGAAGAAAATTTTCAAATGTAAAATCATGTAAGCATCTTGGAGTCATTATAGATGAAAATTTATCTTGGATTGCCAATGTTGAAAATATTCGGAAAAAAGCTTTGAAAGGCTTATACATATGTTAAAACAATCCAAACCATACCTTTCACAATCTATATTAAAAATGGTTTCTAATGCTATAATCATGGACCTATAGGTCCATGCTATAATAATCCCTCACGTTAACTATTGTAACATTATGTGGGGAAACTGTGGCTCAACTGTTGCCAAACAACTATAAACAATCCAAAACAGAACAGCTTGTGTTGTTTGTGGAGCAGCCTGGAACTCACCTAGTACAAATGTACTTTAGTAAATTAAATTGGCTTCCAATTTCAAATAAATATATTACTGTAATGATTGTAATATTCTTGTTTATAAAATTTTAAATAATATGGCACCATCTTACTTAATCTACTTTTTCTCTTTCAATGATTACAGCTATGACTTTCGTAAAAGTAAAAAAAAAATGCATATGTTCCCAAACCAAAGACTAATTACAAAAAAAGAAGTATCTCATATCGTGGTGCTACTGAATGGAATAAATTAAGCCCTGATTTCCAGTCTTCTACCAATTTAACTATTTTCAAAAACCACATTTGTACTAATAGTTAATGAAACCAAAGTTTAATAGTATGAACATTGTATAAATCCCTATTTTGATGTTTTCTTGCCTTGTTTTATTTATATTTTACATTCCTTTTTGTAATTTACAGTTTACTTTTGTAGAATGGATTTTCTTCTTTTCCATAGTTTATTTTGCCTTTGTTAGGTATAGATTACAGTACTTTTATTTTACTAAATTGTTGACTTTTGCATTCTGTACTGTTTAATAATTATATTTTGTATCTATTTTATTTAATTTCTGCATTTAACTTTTGCTTTTTATGATGTACATTTATGTGTAATTTGTTAATTGTAAATAAAGTATCTCACGGCCATAACGAAAAACAGCATTGTATTTGTTGATTCGTGCTTCGTGAATAAATAGAGTTTTACTACTACTGTGAAAACACACACTCTGCTAATAGGCCTAGGCTTAAATATACTATTGCTCATTATTGACAAAATTTCCCTATCATTTATTTACTAAATGATAAATAAAATTCAAAAATAAAAGTGTATTTAAAGCATTACAGTGAACTTATCAAATAATTAGCCACCACAGGGGATTAGAGGCAACGTTATCAGCTGGCATTCTGGTTGACTGATAAAGAAAAGAGCTGGCAGCGCAAGTGAAATGCACTGCGAGGGATTGAAACCCCGACCTCAAGGTTGGGAAACCAAACCATTCCTGCTGCACCAAATGTGGCACCCAAAAACAATAGGCTTTGGTCTTCCTATTACCATCTTGCATTCTGCCGAGTTTGAAACCAATCGGACTTTCCAAACTTTAGTTATTGAAATAACTAGTGTAAATTAATTATTAGTAAAATTATGCCAAAGAGCAATTAGTATATAATCACACATGTACCAAAAACAATAGACTTGGTCAACTTATTACAATCTTGCATTCTGCCAAGTTTGAAACCAATTACTTTCAAAACTTTAGTATTGAGGTGTAACTAGTTTAGTGTAACTAGTGTAAATTACCTGATTAGTAAAATATTAATAATATGCAAATGAGCAAAGAGCATATTCACACACGTACCAAACACAATAGGATCTGTTGTCTTATTATCATCTTGTATCCTGTCAAGTTTGAAACCACTCAGACTTATCAAGCTTTAGTCATTGTGGAAACTAGCCTGAGTTACCTGATCGGTGAAATATTAATTATGCAAATGAGCAACAGCTTATTCATACACATATCAAACACAATAGGCTCCGTCTTCTTTTTACTATTTTCCATTCTGCCAGGTTTAAAGCCAATCAGACTTACCAAACATTAGTTATCGTGGTAACTAGCCTAAATTACTTGATTACTGAAATACCATAAAACCTCAAATTGAAGACTTGGGCTTCCTTTTCTTGCAAACTTTGGATGGGCTTCTTTTTGAGATGGGCTTCTTTTCGAAGCAACTATTGAAAAGTAAAGAGGGGGCTTTCTTTCAAAATGAATGCTGTAAATTTTGGGAATTACTACTATAAAACAATAAATAGGGCCAAACTAACATCAATCTGTATCATGGAGTGTGTTAACCGGCATTAAATCACCTAAACTACCGTATAAACAAAGCATGTTTTTAATTTATTTTGTTGCTCTGAAATTTATGTACAGTGTATGCACTGTACTACAAAAAAAGCCCATGCTATCTTGAAGGGGCTTCTTTTCAAGGCTACATTTGCAAACTAAAGAGGGGGCTTCAATTCAAAATGAGCAAATTAGCATATTCACACACGTACCAAAAATAATAGGCTCCTTCTTATTACCATCTTGCATCCTAATGAGTTTGGAACCAATCAAACTTATCAAAGTTTAGTTTTGGTGGTAACTAGCATAAATTACCTGATTAGTGAAATGTTAATTATGCAAATGAGCAATTAGATTATTTACACACATACCAAACACAATTATAGGCTTCATCCTCTTAATCCCATCTTGCATTCTGCCAAGTTTGAAACCAATTAGACTTACCAAACTTCAGTTAATCGTGGTAACAAAAAAATGACCAACAATACAGTAAGAACAATAACCTCCTTGGAGCTTCGTTCCTTTGAGGAGGCTAATAATTCAAAGGACATACAGGCAATTTATTGCAAGCACTATATAAAATAGTACATGGTCATTTTTGTTATTACACGTGCATTCGGCAATGCTGATGTAAACGCTGAAGATTTTAGGCCTAGCCCAAGTTAACCCAGGCCTACACTGGTACTACCGTCAGTAGAAGTAGTACCAGTGGTGGTAGATCACCATGAACACAATATTAAACTATTATTAGTTATTTAATGTCTTTTATGTTGTATTATGGGTAAAATGTGAATAAAATCAAACTGGATTGTGGGTTTCATGCTTTTATATTGTTTTTACGTGCATTTTCGGTCTGACATTTTTTTCTCAAACGCAACACATTCTTTGTGTAAACATTAGGTCGTTCCTCCTAAAATCTGTCCGCTAATTGGTTAATTTTTCCGTGGACATGGATGGGGCAAGCATGTGCTTGGCTGTGATAACGTCAGATCGCCCAACATTTCATAGTGCGTGACAGCCTTGCAGACAGGAACAAGCTCAGTGTAAACCGATTAATATTTAATTAAACAGATTCATTGAAACAAATGAGAAACCCGTAGTTTTGTTTTACAGTCAAATCTAAAAAAAATTGAATTTCATTCTCTACAAATTTCCTCCGTAATCTGCAACATGTTTTTGTGGAATGAGTGAATCTATGCATTTGTAATTTATACTAAATGAATCTATGACATCCAAATCCGAATTAAACGTCTACTGAAAAAGAGTCAGCTGTCGCAAAAACTTCCTTTGAGATCCGTCTTAATTTCAGGTTGACTGCAATCGGTTTTTAAGGATTAGGCCTAAGGCGATAATGCACTTTATAAACAATGGAAGGGGTAACTTTCACTTTATCAAACATTAACGTTTAGGCGTGGTGGGTCGTTTTAATCAATACATATCTCTATGGCAATGCTATTGGGACTGAGCTAGCTGTACGATAGTTCATTCACATGGTATTGTGCTAGACCTAGTTGTTAATTAACAGAGAGCGATGATTATTGCGTTATTTGTCTGGAAATCAGTGTTTATTAATTGTTCGGTTTGATTTTTATGTTTGATAGTAATTATGTATTGTATTTCAACATTTGCAATAAAATTAAAGTGCATTTATTTATTTGAGTATATACGTATCCATTTTACACCAAAAAAAAAAAACGCCCTCTCAAAAACCCTTCTCAACATTAAACGTCTTGGGGCATTTATTCAAGTAAATACGTTAACCATGGATTACCTACCATCATCAGTAAGTATCACTGTGACTGATTTTCAATTTACGAAGACAAACAAAAATCAATTTACCCTTTCTTACTATCAGTGTGAACATTACTATACAAGGTACCACTACTTTGTAACTTTCTAATATGTGAGCCTTCTAAGAGAACACTTAGTGACAGTCCAATATTTTCAGGAAGTGGATCTGAAAATAATGAAAAAAATATACATTACTCATCTTCCATACATAAAACATTCCACCTGCAAACTTGGTCACATAACTCAAACTGTTTCTCTCTTGCAATCCACAGGATTTAAATAGGAATGATAGACATTTCATCAAGGAATCACATATCTTACCCCAGAAATAGTTAATACAATTAAACCAGGCTATAATTGAGATAGGTGACACTTGGAGAGGTAGAAATTCTCATATGGTTTTTCTAGACCAGTTTTTTTTATGGCGAATCAGAATATGTGTTTAAATGGGCTGTATACGTGAGCAGTGTCGGCTCT